TGAATTGCAATCTTTTAAAACTATTAGATTTGGTAATAATTTTAAGTTTAATTTAAATCAAATTAAAATTTATTTACACCAGATATAATTAGATAAAATCAGATCCAATCAGATTAGATGAGATTCAATCCGATCAAATTAGATGAGATTCAATCAGATTAGATTAGACCGAATCAGATCAGATCTAATCAGAATATATCAGACCCAATCTGATCAGATCAGATCAAATTAGACTCAATCAAATCAGAACTTCAAAATTCCAGATCAGAATAAATCAAATCAGGCGTACGGAACACAACCTTAGCCCCTTCAATTGAAAGTAGCCGTGTGTAGAACACGAGTTGGGCTCGAACTTTAAAAAAAAGAAGATAGATACACATATACTCCCTCCGTCCCATGAAACATGGGACTTTTGCTTTTTAGGGGGGATTTAAGGGGAGTGTATTTTGGTATTGAATTTCCAAAAATGTCCTTTGATGTGATGGGTAAAAGTATGATTTGATGGATAGATTATTAGTAAAAAGGTATGATGTGATAGTTAGGGTATGAAAAAGTAAGAGGTAAAAGTGACTTTTTAATAGAAATGAGAAGTGTTTTGTGGGACAGATAAAAAAAAAAAGAAAGATTTCATGGGACGGAGGGAGTATATCTCAAGCTGTACTAAAATCTTTATTGACATGGGGTGCATCTTTTTTGTTAAGAAAATTGTGTAAAGGTTAATTATAGCACAACGTTTTTCTTTGTTGAGAGTAACGGTTCTTTCCGGTAACCTTTTTAAAGAAATTAATTAAATATTTATTTCATTCGTTCTAAAGTAATCATCTCATCAGTTATTATAAAATGACCTATGCAAAATATTTATTTATAGTTGTACCTTTTAATTTTATATCAATTTATAAATACAAACTATTATAAAAAAAAAGAAGATGATATTTGCACATTGTTTGAAATAAAGCGATACACCGTATAATTTTGAGAGAGAGAGAGAGGAAGCCCGTCTTAGTAAAATCATTTTCCAAGATACTACCTCCGTCCCACTGTCTTTGTCCACTTTTGACTTTTGGAACTGTTCATCTAAGCACTTTGACTCATCAAATTCTCTCAATGTGTAAGCCTAAATATAGTCACGTGTGATCTTGTTTGATTTGTCTTAACATATAGATTATTAATATATAATTTCTATAATTTTTTAATATACAAATTACAAGATAAAATAGATTAAAGAAGTGCATTGAATGGTGTGCCAAAAGATAAGTGGACAAAGATAGTGGGACGGAAGGAGTACGAAATATCTACCTTTAAATACTAACCAATGACCATAAAATATTGATTCCTTAGACTTGTGTGGTAGAAAGACTACTCCAAGATTTTATATTGAAAATTAGCCAACTTCGGACCCCACGGAAAGCATGGACTCACGCTTTAGCAAGTTGTGAGAGTATGTATTTCATAAACATATGTTATATTGTACTACCTCCGTCCCAAAAAGATTTACACGTTTTGAATAAAGTTGAAATTAAGGGAGGGATAATTTTGTGTTGACTTTCCTAAAATACCCTTGATATGATGGGTAAAAGTAAGATGTGATGTGTAGATTATTAGAAAAAAGGTAGGGTGAAAAAGTAAGGGTTAAAAGTGGTTTTTTAATTGTATGTATGTATATATGTATGTATGTGTATTTATGTGTGTGTGTGTCTATATATATATATATATATATATATATATATATATATATATATATATATATATATATATATCATTCTTAACTAAATCACTCCCTCCATTCCTTTATAATTATTTGTTTCATTTTGCATTCCAAACATTTGGCTAACTATATATAAAAATATTCAATAAATAAAAATAAAAAAAATTATATTTAATAATTTGTATCGAAAAATATTTTTATTATATTATTTTTATTAAATTTTTGCTAATAGTGTTTAAAAGAAATTGTTAGTCAAATATTAGATTTCAAAAGCAAACGAGAAAGTTAAAAAGAAATAAAGTGAGTACGTACTTGTTGAACATTATTTAGACATATACTTGTCTATTGCCAAACAATCCATCCTCACGCTAAAATGGATAAACGTGTAGGAGTATGCATTGCGTTGGATGGTTTGGCTGCAGTTTTAGTAATTGTTGCAGGCGCAGTATCGTCGTCTTCTCAGGTAAATACTCATTACACACATAACACACACACACACACACTATATATATATATATATATATATATATATATATATATATATATATATATATATATATATAATTACTTCCAAGAAAACATTATTCCCTTCAACATGTTTCACTTAAGCATGATGAATGAGTAATTTACCGAATAAATATGACTAAAACGTAATGACTTTCTCAATATATGATCATATCTTTATATTTTTCAATGTAGGATCATTTGTCATTATCCATTAATCATTATTCAAGTAAAACATCCACCATCACTGAACATTATTCCTACCATAAGACATTATTAAGTCCTATTTAGAGAATAAAAAAGTTTAAGTCCTACATTGGAAAATGACTTATGTTTTAGTCCTATTATATGATTTAATTGTATGAAAAAAGAGAATTCTTGAGGTCCCATGTATTTATAATGGAAAATAGAAAACAATAGAGGGATTAACGTCAAAGCTAACGGAAGGACTAACTACATATGCAATGCTATCGTGACTTGAAGGAATATTTGTGATTTTTTTAGAGTTAAAGAACTTAACGTATATAATACATTAACTTGATTGATTAACCGTGTGAAATTTAGTTATGGTTAGAGAATTACGGAATATGTTTTACTTCAAGAAAAAGATAGTTCTTTTGAATTGAATGTGAATAATCATGTTAAGATTTGAGCTACTGGGTCAAAATCATGTGTCATTTTTGGTAGATATTAGTCTTCAATTTTGTTTTGTTCTTACTCTATTGTATACTCATATAAGATATGATAAATCTTTATATATAAAATTTGAGATTTAGGTTTCTAGGATTGTGACATGTGAAACGCTTATTAGACAAGTTTTTTGACATGTCAGCATGTCATGTCAGCAAGTAATATTTAAAGAATTAGTTAACAAAAACACTTATTTTAAGAAGGGATATATTTTGATACGGAGTATTTAAACAAGGAACTTATCTTAAAAAAATCAAAACAAACAAATGTATACCAAGAAGGGATATATTAGTAGGACTAAAGTAAATCTTTATATATAAAATTTGAGAGTTGAGTATCTAAGATTGTGACATGTGGCCCGCTTATTAGTCAATTTTTTTGACATGTCAGCATGACATGTGAGCAAGTAATATTTAAAGAATTAGTTAACAAAAACACTTATTTTATGAAAATTGAATTTCGTATTTGTTAAACACAGATTTATCAGCATAATCCCATTTAAAAACTTTTATATTTTACTTCATTATTGGAAAATATTTAAATTAAATAATCCTTTAGTATACTAAAGGAGACTCCGATTTACAGCAATTCGACATTTGGCATGTCTATTTGGCAAAACTTTAACATGTCAACGCCATGTGATAACTGACTAAAAGTTAAAAAATATTATATACAGAGTAAGAAATTGATGGCCTTTAAAATATTAATTGATAAAAAGGTTTAAATAATTTTCATATACATGTTTATACCACGAAGGTTAAAAGGCAAAAAAATTATATACGATCTCCAATGCAATGTTTATTACATAGCATATTGCTCATTTTTATTAAAAAGAAAAAAAATGATAAAAAGTATTCATGCACACCTCAAATATTAACATCTTTGAGGTTAACATTATTTTTTAAATTCTTCTACACTATTGAAAAACCTAGCTACTAGCAACTTGAATTCACCAAAAAAATAAACGACCATAATATTGATGTAAAAAAATACTCTGATGTTTATTTTAAACCAAAAATATATCATACCCAAACACTATGTATATTAAAATGTAACAAAAATATGAATGGAAAAATAATGTATTTTTTTAGTATAACACATACCTTATTTATATTAAAAAATAAAAAAACCGAATAATAATTTGACTTTTCCAAAAATTAAAAAAATAACTTAATAAATTAATGAAAAAAATTTAAAAAAACATGTGGTTGAAATTTATTTAAAAAAAGAAATGATACTCAAATTATTTTCCTTAACAAAAAGAAAATGGTAAAATTTAAAATTTATAATTTAAATAATAATAAGAACAATGAACATATCTTTTGTATACCCTGAAGTCTTTCAAAAAATTTGGTATTAATTTTTTTTTGTGTTGTACACAATCAATCCTTCAAATATTATTTATTCCACTTTGGTTTTTCTATGATATTAAATATCATGCGAGAAGTATATTTTCTTTATTTTTGAAAAAATATTGCATTAAATTTTATTTAGAATCGATAAAAAATTTCGTTCCACCCGTGCACGGCACGGGTTCAAATACTAGTAGATTAATAGTGGATAAATATGATTTGATATGTGGGCTAATGATTAGGGGGGAAACATATTTGATGGAAAGTGGAAGTAATATTTAAGACCAATAAAAAGTGAGTGTTAAATACTCCCTACCTCCCTAAATGTTTACCACATTTCAAAAAAATAAATGAGGTAAAATATAAAGTTTTTTTTAATGCATTTTATTTAAATATTGGTATAGAAATAAAAAATGAAATTTACATATTTAAAAACTACATGAAATTTTTTTTGAAATAAGAGGTGTCAAAAATATTTTATTATATCAAACAATCAATGAAAAGATTAAAAACATACAAATAAATAAAAATTTCTGTGATTATTGAAAAAGGAAATGTGGCAAATATTTTGGGACAGAGGGAGTAAAATTTTTTAATATAGAGAGTATTTATTTATTTAGGGAGTATTTTTTTTAGGTGAAGTATTTATTTATTTATATATCTATGCGTGCATGCATGCAGGTGCTGTCAATATCGGGAATCTGCTGTCTTGTGATTGCTCAAGTGGCTGTTTCAATTTATGCATACAGTATTCAATTCAGTAAACGGAGGTGCAGCTGGGATTTATTATTTTGGTTCATTCTCACATGGTGTGTGATTATTTAGTTATTATACTATTCCAAATATCAAATTGTATTCTTTAAAATTATTTTTGGTAATTTTGGAGATCAAATTATCTACACGTACTCGTGTATATCCCTATCTACCATGCATCCCAAATAATCTATCCATGCATGCATCCCATAAAACACTTTACAATTTTCTTTTTTTAAAAATTGCATTACCTATTTTATTTCTATTTTTTAAATGCATTTTATTTCTATTATAGTAATTTAGTGAATATATGGCTGAAGTACAATGCGTACATTATATCCAAACAAATTCTTAATGCATGCTCTGTATTTTCTTAGCACATTTTTTAATTTAGTGAAAATCAAACGCTAAAACATTACTATATTATTTATGGAAACAGGTTAAGATTTTATTGAGACTCATGCACTTAATGTATATTCATATGTATCTGTGTGCAGGATTTGTCTGTTCGTTGGAGGGGTAGTGATTTATTTAAGCGACAAATTGAGGTTAATCATGGGAGGATTATGCCTTTGCTTCCTTCACTCGGGCTCCGCCTGGCTTTATTCCTACTATGCTTCACGCTCTTCGTCATAAACCCATTCTCATCTAAATTTATTGCCTCCACAATTTTTTACTTCTAGTATATGTACTCTAAGCATTTCCTATTTAATTCTTCAGCTCTTCTCATGTGATATTTGTTTGGAATAATTGTTAGTATGTGTTAAGTTAATTAGAGTTTTACTTAAATTACTACTCTCTTCGTCGTCTTAGAATATTCTTCTCAATTACTATTTACACTCTCAAACTTTAATTACTTTCTTTACATATTTTGTTTAGTTATTTCATAAAAAAAATAGTCGTGTCACATCTTTTTTTAGAACTTTTGATGTAGTTTTTGAATATATAAATTTTATTTTTTAATTTTACAATCAAATAAATGGAATTGAAAATAAAGTCGGTCAAACCTCGTAAATAGAAATAGGAAGAACATTTTAAGACAGAGGGAGTAGTTTATAGTATTTGCATGAGTTCTTCTCTCCAGGGCCAGTCTTGATGAATCAAGGGTCTAAGACAACATGGGAAAAGAGTCCTTTATTCTAACTAATTAAATTATACTCCCTCCATTTCAAAAAAATTAAGACGGGTTTGCATTGGTTGTGGCGTTCTCCTTCGTTTCGAAAAAAATTCGAGATAGAGCAGTGCGAGATGGCGTGAAGCAATATGATGAAGCGGCGATAGCTATGGATGAGGAGATGACGAACAAAGGAATGAGCATGTCAACAAGTTTAGTGTCTAAGAGGTTGAAAAAAGATCATTTGACTAATGTAATTACGTTACACGTTGTGCGAACTCAAAGCCCAATGTAAAAGAAATCCACACACGACCTTGATTCCAAAGTGCACTAGATCTTCTGCTATCAAGTTTTGAATGCAGTTAAGATGTTTATGAATATACCAAATGAGTTCCGAATGCTGGAAGACTTGATAGAAGCTAGATTAAATTTTGTTGCGTTTGAATTAGAAGAGTAATTGAATTATAAACAACCATTCCCTCCCTTTCTTTAAAGCCATCCTATTTACTATTAAAGTCTCAAGACATCACAATAACTTTTATTTGCGTGTGTTTTTCATTAGTCATCTAACAAAATAAAATATTCTTGTCACAACTTGTTTTGTAGAATTTTTTATGTAATTTTTAAATATGTAAGTTTTACTTGTTATTTCTGTATAAATTTATTATTAAAATCATTTAAAGAAAGATGAGATTTTACGTGTAAAAATGAAATAGGAATTGAAGTGTTTTTAAGAATGGAGGGAGTACAAAATATTGCTCTTCCTTTAAATCCTTCCCATTTTGACTTTGGACAAAAATAAGGAAAGTACTACCTCCGTCCCATTGTCTTTGTCCACATTTGACTTTTAGAACTGTTCATCTAAGCACTTTGACTCATCAAATTCTCTTAATGTGTAAGCCTAAAAATAGTCATTTGCGATCTTGTTTGATTCGTCTTAACATATAGATTATTAATAGGAAAAATTATCTCAAATAATCCCACCTTTTCGCGCTCTTTCAAAAATAATCCCACTTTTCACTGTCACCGAAAATAATACCAACTTTTCGCATGTGTGCGAGTTTTGGGTCACCGTTAAAAAACTAACGGTCACTTAACGGAAATTTTGAAAAATGCCCGTTTTTCGCAAATAAATGAAAGGTGGGATTATTTTAGGTAAATTCTCCCTTTTTCGTTTTTTAATTTCTTTAAATGTATTTTTATTTTATTTTTTTGGAAATAATACCAAATTTAAGTGTTTTTAGAGTGAAACTAATTGTTTTTTTCAATAACCAATAATATGGTAATAATTAGAAAATAAATTATTCTACACAATAGAGCTAATTTATTAACTTCATAACTAACTACTCCCTCCGTTTGGAAAAAGTGTTCCTCTTTTGACTTTGTGTAAAAATAAGGAAGTATTAAATTGTAGTTGACTTCCAATTTTGCCCTTGATGTGATAGGTAAAAGTAAGATNAAAGTGGTTTTTTAATAGAAAGTGGAAGTATTTTGTTGGAAGGAAAAAAAATGAAAGAGGAAGTGTTTTTGATCACGGAGGGAGTACATTTTTTTGTAAGTTGCATTTACTGTATTTTTCTTGAGCTGCACTTCAAATTATTTTTTGATACTACATTATTATTATTTCTTAAAAAAATGGCACTACAAAACTTATGAATATTTTTCGATAGTTCTATATAAATATTTTTTGTGAAACAACATTACAATAGTTGTGAAAATAACACAACAATTTTTTTCTCTAAAATAGAACTTTTATTTTTATAACTCACAACATTTTCTGATGTATTGCAATTTTTCCATGAACACTCTAAAATTTTTATTGATAATCTTATATTGCAATAAAATTTTCTTTCTAAAATGGAACTACCCAATTTGTGATTTTTTTAATAATTCAATACAAATTTTTCCCCAAAATAGTACTCCCTCCGTCCCATAAAACCTTTCTCCTTTCTTTTTTTATCCGTCCCACAAAACACTTCTCATTTCTATTAAAAAGTCACTTTTACCCTTTACTTTTTCATACCCTAACTATCACATCATATCTTTTTACTAATAATCTATCCATCAAATCATACTTTTACCTATCATATCAAAGGACATTTTTGGAAATTCAATACCAAAATACACTCTCCTTAAATCCCTCCTAAAAAGCAAAACTCCCATGTTTCACGGGACGGAGGGAGTAATTCAAAAGTTGTGAAAATGACACAATATTTTTTTTCTTCGAAACGGAACCCATAAATTTTATAAATCACTACAAAATTTGTTAATCGTTAGACAAATCTCTAACAAGAGTATATTGTTATATTTTTAAAAAATATTAATTTTAAATTCAAAACTGAAAAAGTTAAAAGCAAATTTTTCTAAAATAATCTCACCTTTCATTTATTTGCAAAAAACAGGCATTTTCAAAAACTTCCGTTAAGTGGCCGTTAGTTTTTTAACGGTGACCCAAAACTCGCACACATGCGAAAAGGTGGGATTATTTCCGTTGACAGTGAAAAGTGGGATTATTTTTGAAAGAGCGCGAAAAGGTGGGATTATTTGAGATAATTTTTCCTTATTAATATATAATTTTTATAATTTTTTAATATTCAAATTACAAGATAAAATGGATTAAAGAAGTGCATTGGATGGTGTGCCAAAAGGTAAGTAGACAAACACAGTGGGACGGAGGGAGTATAATTTTGGTTGATTTTCAAATTTTACTCCTGATGTGATGGGTAAAAGTAAAATGTGATAGTTTGGTTATTAGTGAAAAAGTATGATGTGAGAGGTAGGGTATGAAAAAGTAGGTGTAAAAGTAGTTTTTTTAATAAAAAGTGAGAGTGTTTTGGAGAATTGGGAAAAAAACAAAATGAGAAGGATTTTATGGAACGAAGGGAGTAATTATTTATTTCGGATTATTAATTTTTGTAATTGTCGTCATAATGTATTTTGTTTATGAAACAATTGGTCGTCATATTCATATATTTGCCAAATAACATTGAGATTAAAATTTTACAATTGATATCTTGTTATTTTCCAAAAGCATTTGGCCGCACTAGATATTATTCAAGTAAATGTCTACCATCACTGGACATTATTCCTCCCACTAGATATTGGCCTTGTTTGGATACTAGCAGTTGGCAGTTGGCTGTTGGCTGTTTATGTTAGCTGATTTGAATGGCTGATTGAGTTAGCTGTTTTGACCGGCTGTTTCTGTTAGCAGTTAAATTTTAAGTGTTTGGCAACTTTAGCTGTTTATAGTTAGCTCTTTGTAAATAAAATTACATAAAAGGACATCCCTCCATTTATGGTATATTTTATTTTACAATTTTTTTAAATATCATATCATAAATATATTTTTTTAAATTAAAAAAATTAAATAAAAAATTATATATATGTGTGTGTGTGTGTGTGTGTAGACATGATATTTATTTTTCATTTTTTTACATGTAAAAATTAAATATTTACTATATGAAATATTAAATTTTAATTTCATTTCATTCATAATAAATTATAAGTATAAATTTTTTAATGAATTATAAATATAATTTTTTTTAATTTCATTTTATTTTTTCGTATTTAATTTTTTTAACTTTTATTTTTATTTTTTACATATATTATAAAATATCTTTCAACAAAAATGATTTAAAAAAAATATTTTTCCTAACCGCCATGTCTAAATGCTACTCACCTTGGCATTTCAGATTTTGGCTTTTCGGATCAAAATGCCAAGTGAAAAAGCCATTAGCCAAACAATGGTTTTGGCGATTCGCTTGGTCAAAAAAGTCAAAGTCAGTCAAAGATGTCAAACATTATCCCAAATGCTGTTTTCCAAACACGGCCATTATTAACTACTTCAAGAATTAAAAAATTTAAATCTTACACCAAAAAAATGACTTATGTTTTAGTTTTATTTAATGCAAATTTCACAACATTACATGATTCTTATTTTTGTGTGGCTTTCGCTTTTGGCACGGTCAAAGGAGCTGCCGATAATCACTCGTCTAATTCGTCTTTGGCACGGCAACGTTTTTATAGAGAGAGAGAGAGAGCGAGAGAGACGGAGTAAAACTTATTCTTGATCATAAATTTTAAAGTATTTTTATTCAAAAGTTGTCTCCTTCGTAATGTTTTTATCCAAATTTTCATTATTAGTGACAATAATTTATGGTTAATACTACATTAGTTTTGAATTTAAAATCTTACTCCACTTATAACCGGTCAACAAATTTTTTTCTTTACTCGTTTTTGATAATCATTTGTTAACATAGATAGTCATGCCACATCTCACTTTATAGAGTATTCCATGTAGATTTTAATATAGAAGTTTGATATCAAAATTTATATTATTATTTAAACAAATTAATTTTAAAAACAAATTCTCTTAGATCTTGTAATTTGTAATAGGATAATAAATTTAGGACTAATACATTTCCAGCTATACAAAAAAAAGGT